TCCCGATCCGATACGTGGATCGGATCGGGACAAGCCTAATATATATATACATATATAATATTTAATACACTACCTGGTAAAGAAAAACCTGCTAAATCATTTATCTGTTTATTAAAGACTTGTAAAGTGCATCATTTTATTCCTTAAAAACTGTTAGAAATAAGTAACTACCTTTTATTTTGCTTGAACAATGTGCTTTATGAGGCATGTTATTAGAAAGTTTATATAGGGATCAACAAACACCATGTAAACAAACTAAATATTGTAACACCAGTTTTTAGTTGATACTTTTCGAGGTTATTCCTTTTCTGTGTAGTCCACATGGTTATCAATATAAATATTCATTAAATGATTAGATGTTAACTTGTAAATAACGTGTTAAATAAAGCTATCGACGTCAACAAAACAACACGAGCTGTGCACTCTAATGTTTTGACCTTGAAGTTAAACCACTTTGGGGCAGACAGCCTTAGCTATCATTTTTTGCTGTGTTTTCAGCGATAAGATAAAAGTTTCATGTTCTCAGATGTCGTTACAAAAGCACGAGCCTCTGATTTTTAACTTTTCACTTTGGTAATAAGTAGCAAAAACTTAGCGAGTTTAGGGCTAAGGCTAAAAGACTAATGCTAACTAGGTTACACAGGCACCAACTGTGTTAGCTTAGCCGCCTAGCATTCCTAGAGTTTGCGCTTGTTTGTGAACTTTATTAAAGCAGACCAACATTTCAGCAGCAGAATTATCTTGGAATTAGCAGGAGCCATCTATCTCAGCTCACCTAAAGGTGATGGTGACCGGGACGGTAGCCTGAAAGCCGGTTCTCGTCCTTTGAAGGCCGGTGGCCACTCTTTGAAGGACTCTGCTCGCCATGTTTGTCTGCAGCCAGCAGCAGTCTGGAGCTGTTTACTGAGCAGCTGACAGACAGGGCACCGTTACCATGGAGACCAGTGTGCCGCTTAATGGGATTTCCTTTATTAACATCACTGCTGGTAAACAGCAAGGCCTTTTTACTGTTTGACAAACTGCATGTTTTAGTAACCTATTTATAACTTTTGAACACTTTAGATCTACTTTATCATGTTTTTTCTACAAAACAGTGACTTAAATAATGCTATCCTGAAATTGCATATATATATATATATATATATATATATATATATA